ACCAAAAGGAAAGCAGTTGAACCACCAAGTCCAGATAGGAAGCCAGCAACGGTGGTCGAGCTCACTTTGCTAAGTTTAGGTTAATACAGTTAATTTAAGTAGGCAAGATTTATAAAATATTTGATATATTAGAAGAATTAATAACTTACTTTACTTGCGTATAAGTAGTCAAAATTGTTGACATATTAGAAATTTGTAAAAGAGTGTATGGTATAGTTACATTTGGAAAATCAGCATTGCTATATTGTCCAATAGGAACTATTGGTAAATGGCGGTAATAAGATAATAAATATTTGTATAAACAAGTAACTATTACAAAAAAATGAATTTAAGATTCCTGCTTACACATCCTAGTTGACAACCCAAAATATTTAACTCTATGTTGGGAAGATTTACTAGCAACTTTAGTAAACATAGCTTGTTCTGAAGAAATTTCGAGATCCTGATATTGAATGCGATCTAAAAATATATAATTCCACTGCATAAAATAGTATTAAATTAATTAAATTAATAAAACAATAATAAATGAACAAAAATCAACATTATGAATATTACTTGAAATGGCGAAAGTGTGTAATAATTTTCATATAATAATGAGGAAAGTTTGTCTTGAATATTACTTGAAGTCTTTGAGCCTTTTAAACTTATGCTACCACTAACAATAAAATAATCATTATATTTCGTATATGTCGCTGAATCAAGTAGAGTTACGTATGGATAAGTAGAGCTATTTAAATCAACTGTATAAATTAAAAACAAAACAGTTGATGTACTCGAAAATGAACTATTGCTAAAATAAACGATGTAATCTGTATAATTTATGAGATTATTACTACAATCATATGTAACAGTTGTATCAACTAAATTTAGACGAAAATTTAGATATAATAATTATGTCGATAAAAAAGAATCAAAAGTAACATTTAACAACATAATAACATACGACATGAAATGTTAATGATTGGACTGGATCCGGGGAAAAAAATGACAGCTAAGTAATAAAGAGCATAATAATGTCATGTTAGTGGTAAATTACTATCGTTAATTCCTTAAAGAAACTTACCAGGAACAGGTACATTGCCAACTGTTTTTGACATTTGTAGTGATGAAGGACCAGAAAAACTAAGGAGGTAGTAAATTATGTAGGCTATAATTAAGCAATAAACAATGAAGAGACAAATTATTCTAAATATTCTGAAACATAAAGCTTCTTTTTCTTTTGGACTGTCTCTGTCAATTTCACACCAAAATAAACAGCAAGTATCATATATTTTTTTATTATTCATTTCTTATTAAAAATTTTATTAAGTATGTGAAAGTGAAATGTTTGTAACAATGCCAAAAAGTGAGAGAAACTGCTTTAAATATATATAAAATTGTGAAAACGAATTACATAAAATATAACCAAAACTAGTGATTGGACCCGTCAAAAAAAAATGCTACCCGGGTCACCCGCATGTGGGCCCATGAGCCACCCGGGTAGAAACCGGGTGGGTTAAAAAAAGCAACCAGTCGGGTGGACTCATGAGTCACCTGGGTAAAAATATGCCCCTGTTATTACGCATACCTGTATATAGGGATGACAAATGTTTTAAAACATGATCTTAAAAATCATGTCTGTTTGATTTAAATCTGTTAAATAATGGTTTTAAATGCATACCGTAAATGTGTACAGGGTTGTGCACCGGATGATCATGTGATGGTCCCGACGACTACTTAGTTAAACAAATTTAATATAATAATAATGATTTATATAATAAAGTCAATTTTTCTTCTGCGTTACACTTTTAATTACTTTCATTTTGGTATCTTACGGTACTTACACACGAAATTAAAAAAAAAAAATAGAAAAGGAAAAAAATTATATTATATTTAGTTCAATGAAGAATAACTTAGGCCGATTTTTAGTATAATTATCAAACTTATCGTCATTATAATTCAAGTCCAATAAAAGACCTTAATTAATATTATATTTACGTTTGTAAAGAAACAAAAATAAGTTCACTAAACTTTAATATCAGTTAAAAGCTCTTTATTGTTTAAATAACATTTATACTTATTTGCATTTTCATAAAGCAAAATTTTTATTAGTTCTTTATATAATGTTATTTTTTATTATCAAAAAAATTACAATCAACCTTTTATACCGAATTGAAATTTCATTAAAGCCCATAGCGTTTTTATAACAGATAACGAGCTGTTTATTATTTTTTTTTTACGTAATATCCAATAAATTCGAAATTATATAGCACCATCTTTTTTAAAAAAAATTTCTCGGCTGGAATTAAAATTTATTATTCAGAAGCAATATTTTCAGTTTCAGCAAAATTTTATTTCAGACTTCGATGTTTTAAAAAGTTTTAAACCAATAAAAAATGTTTATCCCTACCTGTAAATACAAATTAGTGTTCCGCAAAAAAGGATCCGAATGGATCCGGTATTTTTAATGGCGTTAATGTGGCATTTTACCAAGGATACCAGAACTGAAAGTGTACGTATAATTAATATGGAAAATATGCTACCAACAATGGGCTTCGCTTGTCTCTCACGTGTGCCTATAGCCAGCAGCAGCCTTTCAAACTCGTTACGTAAACCGGATCCGGTTTACGCAACGAGTTTGAAAGGCCGCTGCTGGCTACAGGCACACGTGAGAGACAAGCCAAGCAGCCCATTCTTAGCAGAAACTTGAATTTTTGCCATTTATGATTATCATATGATAGTTATATAACTATTATATGATAAAAATA